GATGATAATGGGCTGACGGATAAAGAAAAATTGATGGCAGCGCTTTTGTGTTTGGAAGGAAAGGCTTTGGCATGGTATGAATGGAGAGAATAACATCAGCAAATCTAGACATGGGAAGCATTCAATGCTTGATTATTGGAGCGCTTCAGAACCACACGATAAGGGAATTTACATGAGCAATTTCTTGCATTGGTCTAGAAAAGATCTGTCGTGGCGTATGGAGAGAAATTTGAGATGCTATTTGACCATTTAAGAGGGAAATTATAAGAAGTGTGGAAGAAAAACAAGTCACTTTATGTTGGAAGATAGCCTCATGTAACCTTTATGTGAACCACATCCTATTTAGGTGGTTTGGTGTACAACATAAGCTAGAAAATGTGCAAACTAGATGAGCAGATAAAATTAATATAAGACGATTGCGAAGAAAGGTTAAAATTAAGGTTAAATGAGTAGAAGTTACTCAAGTTTTAACACTTTAAATTGCACTAATAGGAAGTGATAAAAAATGAGAACTTATAAAGCTGGCCGTAGTAGTTGGGATGAGACTAATTTGATGATAATTATTACCATAAAGCATCCTATAGTCATTTATCAGTAGTGTTGGATTTATTGAAAAAAATTGTGAACCTTATTACTACAATATCTCTAATCTCCTCTTAAGTCCCTTGAAACTTCCTCTATCCATTCTCCTTGCCTTTAGATTAATCTATAGTATACGCGATACTGTCTTTTAGTTCATAAAGAATCTGTTTATTATGGTTCGTAGGTAACCAAAATTTTAAAATATGTTTCTTTAAATCCTTATGATGTCGGAGTTTAACTAACAATATTGGGTAAAACAATATTATTACTGAAACAAATATGAGTTACAATCAGACATATCGAGATAGGAAATAACAACAGACACGATACAAACTCAACTTGGGGTTTGTTCCGAGAATTGTGGTGGTCGATTGGGTGGAAGGGAAGGGCAATAGGTGGCTGGCCGAGCAGTGAGCAGGGGCAGTAGTGGGCTGGCAGATCAAGGGGACAGTATGTTTGCTAATCCTTGGTTAGTGGAATTGAAGGGGAAGAGGCTAGCGGCAAGACAAAGTTGGTTGGTGTGGCTGGGAGGGAGGGCACCAGGGTTGGGAAGAGGTGGATGTTGTGATTACTACATATAACTGGGTGGCAACAAGGATGGAGAGAGGAATGTTGTTAGGAGGCGGAGATCTGCTGGGAAGATAGCTACATGAAGTTATCCTGGCAGTTGCCGCAGGGAATGATGATGGTAGCAGCAGAGGGAAGGATGCAGGGGAAGGGTAGTAGAGGATAGTCGCCATTGCGAGAGCGAGATACAACACTCGAACCATTGGACATAACCCTTAGAGGAAATACTTGAGATATCGACAACCGTCCCGAACAAAAAAGCGAATAACTCTCTAAACACGACTAAAATAATATATATAAACCTAAGGTAACTAAGGAGTGAATCTTACTCACTATAGACGGTAAATATCTACTTGGAAGGACTATTCGGGCCCTCCTTTACCTGGAACAAACTAGTCTAGGACGGGAGACATGGCAATTGTTGTGCTTATGGCGCGCTTAAATGCCCGAATTAGTCTTTTGGGATTGGGGGAGCTTCGACCTCATCCGTCGAAGCTTCTATCTTCTTATAGTATGAGTCAAATCAAACACGTTGAAGATAGCGAGAATGTTGTAATCTTGCGGTAAGTCAATCATTTAGACAATGTTATTCCAAAGCACATATAATAAGTATTTATCCTTTTTTGTACGACTTTAGCTGGAGCTGCATACAATCTTAGATTCTCACAAAGTAACTCTCAAGTCAGTAAGTCTATAATTTGCCTCTTTCACTCCTCGTACTAGGCTGGGCAAATCTGATAAACAAATTCATTTTGAGAAACTATAGAATGAAATATGTGGCATGTTGGACAACTCTCAATAACAACCACTCAGGAGGGGTCCCTTCTTCTTGGAAGGACATGCTTTTCTACAAAGCTCCTAAGGCGATTTCCAACGCTGTGGTTCATCCTCCTTATTTGACTATGTGCCAGTGGATATACTGTTCAACTGACTTTAATATCCAAATGACTCTATATAGTCTTCCAAAATTCTAGAAGTAGCTCAAAAGCTTTTTTTTGACATGTTGGATTTCCCTTAATATTGACAACTTAAGAGGTAGGCTATATATAAAAAAATTCTTAATTTTTCTGATCTGTGATTGTTATGTGTCTGGTATTAGTTTCTCGAACTCATGACCCTCTTGGACAACCAATGTTACTCATATTGGAGTTTCTCTTATGGGCTCAGCTTGAATGAGATGCATCTCTTTCTTAATAATTGGAAGCTGGTACTCCTGCTTTGGGTCCTCACCTACTTCAGTCTCTACCATATCTTCGTCTATTTCCTTAATTGCTCTCTATTCAGTAAAATAATCATACTCTTGTTTGGACAATCTGATGCACCGTGCCCTAAACTATGGCACTTGACTCACTTTTTTGTTGGGATGAATTTTGAAATACCGGTTTGTTCCACTTGTTCTCTACTCTGAATTAGATTCTTTTAAGACAAGGTCGGTTTTGATGCTCAACTGGGTGTACTCTTGTTGCTTGATCCTGAGATTGAATTATATAAGATGTGACAGTCATCCAATGATGTTCCCCTGGGAATATGCCATGTATATAATGAACTGGTAGATACCTTAACTCTCGTTTAATTTTGGACTGGTGGTGATTTTATTTTCCCTTCCCGCTAACGTAGGTGCTTCATATTTTTCCACCATAACTCCTCTTTAACTTGATGGGAGCTAGCTTTACAATTGTGTTTGGTGGAATATCCTTATATTCAAAGACCAGCTCGACAACTTGGAGCCACTCAATGAGTTCCTTCAACCCCTCCACGATCGTCATAATTCAGTAAATCCACCTTTACTTCCCTATCCTGGCTTCTCCTTTAATATTTTATGTCAAATATTTGGGGTAGTGATTCTTCATAATTTCAATCCGACAAATCACCGTTGTGGTTATTGGTGACTCTTTCAGATTGTCTCATCTCGAGACGACAAGCCTTTATGTTAAAGGATTTTTCGCTGTTTATTTTTTATAGAAAGTTCCTGAAAATATCTTTGTGGATTTCTCATAAGCGGCATTTTTTCCTTTCTTCCTGACCTGTTTTCCAGCAATCATCTCCTTGGTGGCATTGCTAGGGTTTAAGTTTAGGAGGTGAAATTGGGTGTACGGGGTTGATTTAGGATGGGAAAAAAAATTTTGGGGGCTGATTTGAAAAATCAGTAAAGAGACGGGTTTTTGGATGGAGATATGTCTAAGTATTGATGGATTTAAGCAACTCTAGGATAAAATTAGGGTTAGACTAGCTTTGATATCAAATAATACCGAAATTTAACTAACAAAAACAAGAAATACAGATATTATTACTGAATACAAATAGTGGTTGGAAAATAACAGACATGACAAACTCAATTGGGGTTCGAGCCTGAGATGGTGGTGGTTGACTAGGTGGAAGGGAAGGGCGATAGGTGTCTGACCGAGTTGTGAGCAGGGGGCGATAGAGGGCTGGTGGAACAGGGGACAATAGGTTTGTTAGTCCCTGGTTAGCGACATTGAAGGGCAAGTGGTGGCGGCAAGACAGGGCTGGTTGATGTGGCTGGGATGGATGGTATTAGGGCTGGGATGAGGTGAGGTAGGGATTGGTACGACAGATCTGAGTGGCAATAAGGGTGGAGAGAGGGTGGTTGCTGGGAGGTGGAGATCTGCTGGAAGGCAACTACAGGATGTTGTTCGGGGAGCATTCGAACCCTTAAGATACAATCATTAGTGGAAAAACCTGAGACTCCGGCAGCTGTCCCGAACAGAAACACGTAAAAACTCCCTAAAACATGATGAAAACAACATATATAAACCCAGAATGACTTAGGGTGGACCCCTCTCCCCTTAGGCGGTACATCTCCGCTTGGAAGGATCGCTCGGTCCCTCCTCTTCCTGGACCAAACCTGTCCTGGAAGGGATCGCGGCAATTGCCGTGGCTACAGCGGCTGGTCGCTTGCATCACTTCATCTTTAAACAGGACACTAGACTATTCATTGTCAATGTCATTTTTATCTTTCTGCAGTACTATATTTATGATATGAAAATAATATGAAAATAAGTATATTTATGTGTTGTTGTCTACTAGTTGTGCTAGTAATCTTTAGAATGGGTTGGTCTTATCACATTAAGCGGCGTATGGGTTGAGAGGATTGGGGTCTGGAGACAATTATCCCGGTAAGCATACATGAATTCTGAGTTATTTCCGTTGTCCTAGACGTAAGATCGCCACATGTGGATGCGAAACTGGTACATGCATTATTAGACGTTGTTTGATGTTTGCAGTATAGGGAGGCAAGCCTCCCCTTGTTTGCAGTTTTAAGTCCTGAGTACACAATCCCTGAGCAGTATGCCCAAAAAGTATTATTTTGAAGATTTACGTACATACGACTCAATTCCTATATATTTACATATCTAACACCTAAACTTTAATTTTTCCATACATGCCACCTTATTTATGTATGAAAAGGTTCATTTCACTTTAAAAGTTAAAATGGTGATAATTTTTATGTGAGTTAAAAAATAAAGTTTAGGTGTAGATATGTAAATACATAGGAACTTTATGGTATGTATGTAAATTTCCCTATTAATTTAAGTTCGTTTTGAAACAAACATTTACCATGCATCTTATTTGATTGCCTCTTATGTATTTACATATCTGCACCTAAACTTCAATTTACACATACAGACACCCACCTTAAACATGGTTGAGATGGTGCATTTCACTTTTTATGTGATCATGAAGATTTGGGTGGTATAAATATAAAAACTAAAGTTTATCTGTTAGATTTGTAACTACACAGGAATTGGGTGGTGTGTATGCAAATGCCCCATTTTCTTTCAAAATTATTTCTCCTGCTATAAAAATCTGAGAAATTTAGATTATTGCAGGGGATTCCATTTTCAATAATACTTTGAGAGGCATATACTACTAAATATGACATGGTTCCTCCTCAGAACCTTTCTGGAATGCAAAGGCAGGTCTTGGCTCTATACCGCCACTTTCTACGGGCGGCCCGATCAAAGAATCTCGACGAGCGAAAAATGATTATCTCTGTTGTCTCCACGGAGTTCCGCCATAGTGCCGATCATGTTGATCGAAAAAGCTTCCAACACATCGAATATCTCTTGCGGCGCGGGAGGAGGCAGCTCGAGCAGCTAAAGAGCTCCACCACCATTTCTCTGTCGACAATCAATGTCAGTAAGAGAAATCTTATATCCTTCCTTCTCTTCTTGTTTTTCATTGGATTTTTAGAAATTTACCAGTTAAATAAACGTTTTTTGATGCTTTACCCTTAACTTTATTCATTGAGATGTAGATTTTTTTTGGGATACATTTACATGCATAAAACACAATTTATACCTGGGGAAATTTACATACAACACAATTTTTATGGATTTGCATATCTAACACCTGAAATTTGATATTTATATTTATAATAACTTGGTGCCATAAATCTATGCATAAAAAGATGCATTTTACTTTCAATAGAAATTAAAAGAAATATTTTTGATGTGATGTTAAGAATTTGAGTGTTATGAATGTAATAAATATTAAAGTTTAGGTGTTAGATATGTAAATACATAAGAATTGTGTAGTAGTGGTATGTATGTAAATGCCCATCACATATATTTTACGTATATAGCACCTAAACATTCATATTTACATGCGCATAACTCAAATCTTTGACCTCACATCAAAAATATCACAATCGCTACCTTTTTAAAGTGAAATACGCCTTTGCATGTATAGGCTTATATTAAACCAAAGTGTTATATATGTTAATATCAAACATTCGGTTTGGATATGTAAATAAAGTGTTATATATGTAAATATCAAACTTTCGGTTTGGATGTGTAAATATATAAGAATTGTGGTATGAAATATTGGTTTTGAAACTTGCTAATCTGATTTCCAAATACGCAGCTGAATTCTTCCACTTCCAAGACGGTCCATGAAGACAAGAAGCTTGCTTAAGGTAGCCACATAATTGTGCTCAATATAGTTTTTTATTTGTTGTGGTCTTTAATAATCGTGCTGCTGATATCTATGGAGGTTTGGATTTGATATTATCTGTTTCTTCAATCTGTTATTTTATTGATTTCTGCAATTTGTTTTGTTGAGTAGCAGTGGAACAGAAGCAATTTTTCAATTCCCAACAGCTGATATTGCAGCTATTTATTATTAGGGACATTTACATACATACCACACAATTCTTATGTATTTACATATTTAACATCCAAAATTTAATATTTACATGCATAACACTTTAATCTTAAATATCAAATTCAAAATACCACTCACCTGCATTTAAAATATTAATACACATTTTTAAGTGTAGGTTTATGACGCGAAAATGTTATGCCTGTAAATATGGAAGTTTAGGTGTTAAATATGTAAATAAGAATTGTGTGATGGTATGTTGATTTACCTTATTGTTAATACGTTTTGAGTTGTCAAAGAGGTTTTGTATCTCCTCCACTCTATCCCAAGAATGGCAAATGCCTTGGTAGGTAATGTATAAGTGATTTCTTTTTTATATATTTAGCATATTTCGACTGCTCAGGGTTTTTTGGTTGGCTGTGTAATAAATTATGGAGATCATTTTTCATGTTTGGTCGTTGCACGTATTTAGAATCTGTCATTTTTTGTGATATTTTAATTTAAATTATGGAGGTAAATTATGCATATTACTTTTCATTTATTGAAAATTTAAATCGTTTGCATTTGGTTTGCTCTACTCATGCACGACACGCAGACAGAGATGTTAAACCGATATTTGGTCTAGTGGGCACCACTATCGATTCCTGCAATGAGTTGAAAACCCAGATGTGCTTGTATTTGATTCGAAAAGGCCACGTCACGGGATTCGAACCCCTGACTCGACGCATCAATGAGCATGGTCATTCGCGCATATACATATATATATATATATATATATATATA